ATGACCTCCTGAGGTCCCTTCCAACCCTGATAGTCTATGATTTAATGTGTGCAGTAAGGTTTTTTTTTTAATCCCAAAGTTTCTCATACACCCCCAGAATACATTCCATGCTCTGCTCCCAGTTTGAGAACCTCTGCTCTACACTGCATTACTAATGAAGGCAAAGTGTTGTATGACATTTGCAAAATAGTAGTCTCTTTGGAATATATAGTACTGACAAGTTACAATCTTTTTCAGTTCTGGAGCTGTTGGGATTCCAGTACAGTAGAACAAGATGAGCTATTCCAAAATTGAGTTTCTGCATAAGACTGATCAGTGTGGACACACCTGGAGCTAAGAAATACCATAAATAGCTTTTTGGTTTAAAAATTGCATGATCTTGTTCTGTGACACTGGAAGAAAGGAAATTAAACAGACGGAGAAAGAGGTAGTGCTGACACAGTGGAAAAGAGATAGAGAAAAAACAAATAAGAGGGTACGAAATAACCTGCTGCTAGGTTCCATGATTATCGGTGCTATATCAATAGCAAAGACAGATAGAAAAGAAAGCATTGCAGAAGGAAAAAACAGGGAACTGAATTTTTATTTTAAAAATGGTTCTAGCCCTTGTAGTATTGAAGATAACTTTCTGAATGTAATTAGCCTTATTTAATTACCTGAGGGGTAACATGAGAGGAATGTCCAATTAATTAAAATTACAATAAGAATGTATACATGGTACCTAAACTGTAATCTCTTTGGAGCAGGGACAGTCTGTTTACTGTGCTAGGCACTGTACAGAGTCCTGGTTTATGATAGGACCTCTTACATGTTTCAGTAATATAAATAAGTGTGTTTTTTAATGTGAAAGTATCACTGTAAATGACTGCTTTGGTTGTATATTGAACAATGGATTTTTAAATATTACATTTATTTTTCACAGTGTGGGAGGGCCTGGGCTGAAACAGAGAATGCAAAAGATTTTTGGGATTTGGGGTCATGAGAGGGAAAAAAAAGATAACTGTGGTGGGTAAACTGGAATATGTGAATAATAATCTTGACTGCCACTGATTAACTTAATGACTCCACTTCTCATTGCCTTGGTTTACTAATCTGTAAAATGAATATAATCATAATTAGTTGCTATATCATTTTATAGATTATTAAACCACAACACTGAAAAGTGGAGTCATTAAGTTAATCAGTGGCAGTAAGATTTGTTTACAAATTCTGATCCGTGAACAGTGTGAAGTTTAAAAGGATACAGTCAATTTAAAAATCACTTCTGGCCAAAAATACCAGCTACTGTTACAAGTAACATCCTAAGATACTAGAACAGAGTAAGATTGGAGAACCCTATTTTCTTTAGGGTTTAGTTTGTTTAAAGAAACAATCTCATAATTAAAACTTGTAAGGCAATTTGAGAATCTCAGGTGAAATATGCTATGTACATTGTGACAAAGTTCCTCCTCTATCTTGGTGGGTCCTGCACTTATTGGCAGATTTTCTTGCCTCAGAGATTCACCATGTGGGTTAGGGAACAGCCCAGAGACCTTCCCCTCTGGAAGAACCCACAGTCTAGGTCAATTGGGAGGAACCCAGACTCACCCTCTACTCCAGGTTCCAGCCCAGGGCCCTGTGGACTGCAGCTGTCTATAGTGCCTCCTGTAACAGCTGCATGATAGCTACAACTCCCTGGGCTACTTCCCCAGGGCCTCCTCTAAACACCTTCCTCCTGGTGTCTGATAACACTTGCACTCCTCAGTCCTCCAGCAGCATACCCTCTCAGCACCTTGCACTTCTTGCTCCCAGCTCCTCACACCACAAACTGAAGTGAGTTCCTTTTAAAACCCAGATGCCCTGATTAGCCTGCCTTAATTGATTCTAGCAGCTTCTTCTTAATTGGCCTCAGGTGTCCTAATTAGCCTGCCTGCCTTAACTGGTTCTAGCAGGTTCCTGATTACTCTAGTGCAGCCCCTTCTCTGGTCACCCAGGGAACAGAAAACTACTCATCCAGTGACCAGTATATTTGCCCTCTACCAGACTCCTGTACCCCACTGGTCTGGGTCTGTCACAACATATAAAGTATAATGAAGTGTGTTTTAAGCAACCATCTGTCCACAAGCTTTTTATTAACAAGGAAAGGGAGATATTACTGTGCACATGATTCTCTTTATGAAGTAATTGCAAGTAAAATGAGTGGAGTGTGATGGGGAAGATGGAGGGCCAGGGCTTGTCTACACTTACAGCACTGTAGCAGCAGTGAAGATGTTACCTATGCAGATGGAAGAGCTGCTCCCATTGGTGTAGGTACTCCACCTACCCTAGAGGTGGAAGCTATGTCAATGGGAGAAGCCCTCACCTTGACATAGCACTGTCTACACTGGGGGTTATATCAGTTTAACTACATTGCTCAGAGGAATGGATTTTCCACACCCCTGAGCGACATAGTTATACTGACATAGCAAGCCTCAGTAATTACAAGAAGAATTGTGACTGCAAACAAGAGCACTAATGCAGAGCTTGTCTGTCTGAATTATGAACAACCACTCTTGGTCTTCTGGGTTGAAAAATGCATTTTTAATTTAATCTTATTTTTATCTTTCTATTTAAACCTGCCCTCTGAGGCTAGCGGAGTAAATTTTAACTCACTGGAAAGTCCTGAGAGATTTATTGGACAATCATTGAGCTGCTTCTCTTGGGAGCTACTCATCTATGCCTAAGAAAAGTGTGGCAGCCTTCTCTTTAGTTTAGTCTCAGACAGTGATATGTTAATAAGGTTTTGACATCAGTCCTGTCTCTTGAAGGTGACCTGCAGATGTGGGGATGGTGGAGAACTGGGCTGGAGCCCTTTTTAGCTTGTGAGGTATAAAGAGAGCCCTAAAGCTTTTTACTAAAAAAAAAAAAAACGAATTTAAATAATAGTTTGGTTCATTTTGAAAGCTTCTCCTTCCATTGCCATTTGTTTTTTACATTAGATGTTCAGGTTCTGTCTAGTGTGAAAGACTGTGATGACTGTTGTGCCAGTGAAATAGTGACAGTCTGAAAGCTGAGCATTTGAGAGTGGAAGGGATTTTTAGTCAGACTGTTCTAAAACATGTTGATTGTGGCGACGAAAAAGGAAGGAGACAGAGCGCCAGGTCGTGGTAGCCGAAAAAGCCTCCCAGGGACTTTTCTCTGGGGTTTTTATTATCTTACTTTTCTATTTACAACACTTATAAGTGGTTTCAGAGTAGCAGCCGTGTTAGTCTGTATCCGCAAAAAGAAGAACAGGAGTACTTGTGGCACCTTAGAGACTAACAAATTTATTAGAGCATAAGCTTTCGTGGACTACAGCCCACTTCTTCGGATGCATAACTTATGCATCCGAAGAAGTGGGCTGTAGTCCAC